TCCTACGGGACTTGTAAAGCAATCGCTTGTTTACCTGTAATATATCATTGTTCATTGTTCATTGGTACACATCAGAAGCAACTGTTTCAGTCGCTCGTTCGCGAGGCCGACGTCCACATAACGCAATCGAACAGCATCACAAAGGCAGTCTGTCGTCTCTTCCAGCGGAACATTGATGCAGGGCGACACTACATCTAGAGAAAATATTTTCATTCCAGTTAACTGTATATGGCTTATGGAGTCTACGAAGTTGAATGTATCTCTGAGGCTATGTTTCGTTAGGAATTATCTGTTCGGTTCTAGAAGCTTAGCAAACAAGTTCGCGGTTGTGTGATATGTAGAATCATACATGTCTTATATTGCTTTCAATGTAAGTCCTCCTTTATGCACTTTCGTTAAGCCATAAAGAGGTGGAATCACTGTCCCGAAGGGACGCGTGCACTCAAACGCCACTGAGTCAATGGTATTCTCTTGCTTCACTCAGTGTAGTAGCATTGTGACTGTCTTTTCTATCGAGACGATTTTGTCTTTTTCTTTCTCCATCATCCGGAATTTCGAATGATCTTTGAGGATGGCACTCCTCTTAGTGAGATAATCAGATTTATCCAAGAGAACAATCCCTGCTCCTTTATCCGGCCTAGAAAGCAGCACACTGTCGTTCCGTTTAAGCGCTTTGAGGGCATCTAAGTGCGCGTTCGTCCGTGAATACCTGACTTTAGTTTTGTGCTTCAGGTACTCATAGCATGTATTAATCTTCGTGGGCTTGAAATGCTCAGCAACTAACGCTGACGAGGTTGTAAACATGGCAGCGTCTTCACACCTGATCGACTCGAGCCACCACGTCAGAGCGCATGAGACTTTCCAGCTCATCTAACGCGTACCCAGATGCCACGCAAGTGTGGTTAGATATCGTCTACTGGCAGCGGCCGAGGCAGTTGCTATCTGGATTCATGACCCTGACCTATGTGCACAGAAGAATTTTAGTCAGGCACTAACTCTACCCTTGTCCGATTTAACACGGACACATAGTGATGATAACGCACCACACCCACAAACACAATGTTGGTCGCCGTGCGGCCAATCATCTAGCTTGGTCACTCAGACCAACTGGGTTTTGAACCTGTACCCTTAGGTGATGTTTAAGTTCATGTCATGCATCTGTGGTGTATTCGCCTTATGAGGAACTACTGAAAACGAGCTTGTTCGCTAACATTTTCCTGAGGGCCTAAATTCGTGCGGAATGGTACAATTAGGTAGAGGGTTTGGGACACAGTGTCCCGGGTCACTCGGTGCGAAATGATTAAGGAGAATTAGAAGGAAGGGACAACATAAACAAACTCACTTGCATCCACATTAGCGGAGGAAGAGGGAGAACATGCTTGAGAGCCTAGTACTCGGGTAACCTCAAGGTGTCAATGGTTGTTGTGGGTCAGCGGAATTTTACACAAAGAGGTGGATAATCACATATCATCCATTCATGTAGCCGAACAAATTGAAGGGTGATTTTGCGTCAGGAGCACTTTAAACTTATATCCAGATTCCGTTACACATGGTCTATGATTAATTGTCTCTGATTTATAGATGAAGATATGCACCAAACGAAACCTAACATTTCGTCTAGCTAGACCTAGGTACAAACGGCACCATCAATATACACGTTATTTAGTGAGAATTATTTCAACTTCTGCTCCACAATACAATGTACTAGGCTTTTTAGAAAAACTTAATCATTAGCATACAAAATGCAAAGAAAAACATGTAATATTAAGCTTTCGCACTGTAATGCATTTACACTGTGTTTGTAGTTAGAGGAGAAAATTAAGCGATATGAACATGGACAACGGCAATGTAAATGATGTCAGCTCTTCCCGATGGGTCCAAACCAAGTTGACCCACATTCATTCGGTTAGAGATGTTGCTTATACGGTCTGAGGACACAGCGTTACTGACCAATGTTACAACCGATACATGCGCAGTGTTTTTCTTGACTGTTGTAAGAACCGACTGTTATGCTGAGATTCACCACCTAGTCTTTAGAACCCAGTAGTTTAATTCCCAATTGGATTGCCGTTTGAATTAAATCACTGAAGTTGTCAGCCTGCTGTTCAAGCTTGACAATATATTTGGTAACTTTCCGTCACCAACCAAAGTGGCATCACCTCTGTGTTTGTGCACAGCAGTGGATATTGAGACCCATTTTCATCATGAAGCTTTTGGCTTCGAACTTGTCCTCGGTTTGTTCCACTTGCTTTGGAAGTCTGCGACCGCATTTTGGTCTGATACTCTGGTTGACTTGGCGACGAGCAACATCAGCGAGGCTTCTTTTGTCAGTTGTTTTTCTCTCCCCAACTCCGTACCACTCGCCCTTCAACCACAACCATAATGTGAATGCACAATGCGAATTATGCTTAATATTATTTGCTTCACTTTTAGCTAATACTAACCTTCCTTTACAACATTTTCGGATTTTACATTCTTGGATTGTGACGCAGCATCTCAGGTATTCCTCACTTCCAGATAACCAGTAGAAAAATAAGGTTTACAAGTTAGTCAATGTGAGCTAACTGTAGGTTAAGGCATAGCGATTGTTCTTAATCCAAAATTCCCAGATATTTAATATTGACCTGCTGGTGGCTGATGCCTATTTTATGATCTTCCGCTAGTATTATACTGTCCTGTGAAACATTGTCAGCCACAGTGTCATTAAATCGTTTCAGATTATTCCATATGTAAAAGTGTTCCGGTTTACGAAATTAAATGTGGAAACTGCAATTCCTTTATTTATAACAATGGCCATCAGATATGTAGTTGAAAAGTGACGGGGCGCAAAAATAAAAACTATCTGATGTTTTGCAGTATGAAGTAGGCATGCCACCCAGCATCGGACTACGCACTTGTAGTTTAAGTTTCCGATTTCAAGATTACCATTGGTTTTCGTACTGCATCGCGTTAAGTAAGCTAAATAGATTTCGAATTGACGGGTTCCGCGAATCGCATCCATGAAAACTGAAGACAACAGCCTGGCAAATTTACGAGACCGAAATTTCCATGCTTCCTCCCGCATTACTTATCAGTTTCTTCAGTACATATGCAAATAATATGCACTGTTTGTTGCAGAGGCAAGCCGAAGTGAATATTTTAACGAATGACGTCTGTAAGCTCAGCGCCTCATCTTGCCTATTACATAAATACCACTGGATACTTTCTTCAAATTTCCAGCAAACACCTGGGGTTGGACAAGTATACGTGCATTATGCTATTCGACTGTGTGCATTGTGCTACCAGAAAAATATCTAATAATTGAAACTCATCTTTAACAAAGAATACAAACAGGTGGTTTGAGTGGGATACTCAAATACTTTCGGTCGCCTCGTGCAGGGGCAGCGCGGTTAAATCGCTCGTTACCGTTTACGCAAAAACAACGTATTTTCACCTTATCTACTGTAGCGGTATCGGTTGTGAAAGAAATGTCCGCTATGTGTGTGGTTAATCAACTTCCAAGGTAACTAAGACCAATATATTCTACCCACCTTATGAATAAAAGAGCTGAAATATCGCGCATGGTATTTGGATACAAAATTCTACATCTACTAAAGCGAATTATGAAGAAAGGTTTTAATGAAATCTTTTTCGTTTGAATGGCTGCACATCCTGAATATTTACTTCGGCATTATGGGATCGTTGCTTGGTCAAGCTATGAGAGTGTGCCCTACTCAGGTAGGTACCCATTTGTAAATAGTCAGTATTGAGAGTATCCGTTTGATACTTGTTCATTTGGTAATGCGAAATGACAAAAATGCAACTATTTGCGCACCTAAAGCTTTTGTTGATCTGAGTTGCTTTGAATTGAGCAGGGTGCAATTGGGTATTTATTTTCTTCAGACGTCAAAATCACGGCTGTTCTAATGGAAAAAATCATTACTAAATCCTTCCCATGTGTAAAGCTAAAGGAACGTCATTTTGCTTAGAATCATAATGTGAACAATCAGCAACACGGAACGCACAGGATGAAGCACGTCGAAATTTGCACCTGGTCGGATTAGCTATTCTAAACCACCCTCAAACCGGAGCTTATCTACTCTGTCCTTTATGGCATAAACGCAAGATACTTGCGGATTATGACTCGATTTCCTTCCCTCAATTTATCAATACTCCATGTGACTATTCCATAAGTTGCTCCTTCTCCTTGTATTGTTACTGTTGATACTATTGTTTGTAACATTATACGAGTGAAAATCCATGTCATCTTTACAACTGTGATTCTCACGTCAGTGTGCCGATCACAGTTGTGAAGATGAGCTGAGGTAAATACGTTTCAATTCCATTGAACCTGAGAAGCTTCTGACAAGAACAATAGCGGTGAAATACCGGTGAATTACCGGTGACAATTACTTCACGGTAGAATGTCTCTCAGGCGTGCGATGAAGTGTGCCATGAGCAGTTTAACCGCCCACTATCCGTGTAATGACGACAATGTGTCAGTCACTTACAACTGGATCCCCGGAATCTGTAGGACTATTAGCGAGTAGCCACTGGTACCGCTAAACACACAATTACCCCTGTGAATGAACAAAATACGTGCGCAAATAATCCACGAGTCTGACATGGCTAAATAAATTAAGCAAGTGAATTTTTTCCTCAAACTGCACTTGCTACACAAATTTGATTGGAAAGAACCGACTACCAGCTCAGGAACTGCGTTACTGTAGCGAGTTGTTCAGTTGTAGCTCACTGGCTTAATTTGACTATTTTGCGATTTGCAACATTCCGTGTAATTCTGGCTGTGGTATAAATGTCACTGACACATGTGCCCGCCATTTCACTGGACGGGTCAAGATGTTCACTAGTGCTCTCTGCATTGTCCTCGCGGTGTGCATCAGTGTGGTTCCGCACGGCGCTGGTGAGTTCACCTATTTGTCACATAGGGTTATAATGAGTTTACGTACAGACCAAAGTTCCACTTTTCACCAACTGTTTTAGCATCGCTATCGGTGTTTTTCCCAAAAAAGCGTGCATTCAGAAAGAATTCTATAATGGTACTTAGCAATGATATTTGTCTCGTAAGCAGGTTCGTTTGATTTCTCGTGCTGGCACGCAGACCATCTCCTGAACGTCAATGTGGTATTAGCCTCATATTACTGGCTCGAACTTTTGTCAATTTGCTCCCTGTAGGTTCAACATTGACAATTAAACAGGTACATTTTTTGTAATAACTATACTTGCAAAATGCGGCCAACGTGAATTTGCATGGCGAAAATTGTTGTGGTTTATATGCCAAAATAACTACTGTGGAATTCACAAGTGTGAGTAACTCTTCAGCACGGAATAAAGGATCATAATCATTGCCATACAATTTTGTGCGCCGCATCTACCTTGGCCAAGATGTTGTGATGTTTGTGAATGAAAATTTTCACTTTTCGGCAACTAGTTAATGAATTTAATGCAAAAGACAGGCTAAAATCGTTGGTTGTTCGTGGCGACTTATCCCTCCTTCAATTGTATGACATGCATAATGAAGGTAGTTTCTAAAGGCAGCCAGCAAGGAATGTATTAGCATGTCTGCTTCTCCCAAATCATCTGGTGTTTGATCTGGGATATTCCTTTTGCTGGATATGCAACTGTTATGTGTATGGGTCGTCTCGTGAAATGCATTGTACCAAGGAATGTGAACATTTACCTGGCACTTATTTGATTGTGCTAACAGCCGGAAAAGTTAGGAAGCTCCCATTCGTAGTGCAATGTGAAGGGGTCCTCTCCTATTTAACTGATACGAATGAATATTTCATTGAAGTTCGATGTTTTCGCTTGATGAGGTACCAAACATAATGATAATTTCCTTGATTGGCTTAAGTATAATTCCCACTACTGTGATAATCCGTGATGCCTTTTCCAGTTATTGCAACACAATCTAGCGTGAACCCTTGAAAAATACAGCATGTTGCCTGTCTTGATTACAAATAGTTTAACAGAAGTTGTTTTGCCCCTATTTTACAGCAGAGTTTGCTGATTGCACGCTGGAATGTGCTGCATCTAGAGGATAGTAAAGTTTGTTGGAAGCAATTTTGGCTTCAATATGGTCTTGGCACCTGTTGCGATCTTGCAAACTTTACGACTTTACTCCGGAAGTTCACATTAAAACTGAACCCACACTGACCTACTGCCACTCAGAATCCATATCTCATCACATGTGGTTCACTCTAGCTCTCATACTACATTTTCGCTTAAATTCATTGGCAGCTTCACCAATGCCGTTGATTCCTCCATGACAAGGGCCGTTTGCGTTGACACCGAAATTTGATTTCGTCCACATTAGCCTTGTCTGGTTTTGTCAGAATAAATCCCACCATCAGTTGAATTCCTTTGACTCATACGTGTGATCGAACTGAAGCGGAGTTTAATTGAGGAATGGAATATCGCCACCTAAACTCCACTCATTCAATTGTGTGTGCTTGGCTCTTAGTGGATATAATTTCGGGTTTCTTTTATTCTCTACATTTTGCACGGTGTACATCTAATTTTGCGCATGCTGCGAAATACTACGCATGCCTTATACTGTCATCTTTCTGTTTTTCAGTGGGTTCGGACGTAGACAGTTCAGCACTAGGCGGTGAGTCCTTGTTGTTCCGGCATGCAAATGCAACCTTAAGTCTAATGCCGAGTTTCAATGGGATGCTCGCCTATCGTGTGAATATCACTTGTTACTCCCGTATTTTCTTATAAGTAACGCTTTCAGCCAAGTTATGATGCATACCGAACATGAAACTATGGTGCGCTCACCGTTGAGCTAGATGAGTAAATTGATGCAATTTCACCCCTAATTATATTTACTTCATCCCGTACACACTTGAAGAGGGCTGTTTCTATAGTGTTGTTATGTTTGCGTTGTGTTTTCTAGTTGGCATAAGGCATGTTCTTGTCAACCTAGTGGATTTTTTGCTTTCCGGAGAAAAGTTAATATTTAAAATAAGGTGAACCTCGGTGCAGCCATCACTTCGGTCCACCGTCAAAATCTACATGGTCTTGCTCGATATTTGACCGGTTCACGATAGTTTTGGAGGGTCGCCTTTCTCCTCGAAGCTGGCGAGTGTACTTAGATCACTTTGTGCATGTCTGCTTTTTCCTGACGATAAACATGCATTACCGTTTGATTTTTCAATTGTTACGCTGGAATTATCTGTGATACAGACTTACATCAGATATGCATCTGTTTAACAGACATTGTAGGGTATAGTTGGTTACACTTTAGTTCACTGCATATCGGGACACTTCCGTCTGCAGAATCAAGGATGACGAGGCTTTGCATTATACGTCATTTTAAGGGTGATGGGAAATGTTTTGTTTCCGGTTTCATTTTTGGGGTTGCGGTGAGTAGATTTATGGGCAATGACATAAATAGATATCTCGCAATAAATCTTTACCAAATGATTGAATGGTGTTCCGATGAAGTTTCGTATCTGCCTTAATACTTTTCCGATTTTTACCTTGACGCATAAATCCTGTAATGTTGCTGCTTTTATCAACTCCGCGTTTATTTCACTCTGGTATTCAGCTCAGTTGGTTTTGTACGTATACTCGTAGTTGGTGGTATGTTTACACGCTATGCAAATCGTTAATTAACTATTTGTTAACAATTAGACAAAGAATAGGGAACACGATTTAAAAGCATTATCAAGCAATGCCGTAGTTGAAAATTTAGGTTGTGCATTGTATATTAATAGATAAATATCTATTAATTTAATTGCCCGCTTAATGCTGACGTTCATGTTACATTCATGCTGCTTTATTATCGCAGTTTCGCTAATCGAAATTGCAGTTTATCTAGGTATTTTTAATCCAATTCGTTCATCTTTATTTGCTTTGTTCAATTCCGCTACTCTGCTGTATATTCTTTGTCAATTTTGTCTGCGTGATTTCCCGTCACTTATAATTTGATTATTTGCTATCCCCAGTTTGGCTACGCTTGACGTGAATGTTGACAAGATGCATAGCTGTCTAAACATCGTCCACCTTGAGTACTGTCTTCAGTAGACAGTGGATCATTACTGTTGGGACCGGATGCACGGTCCTCGTGACTGTGCTAGGCTCCAAAACTGCTCCCGTCCAGTATGCAGCGGAGTCCGGACCAGCCACCGCTCTGTGCACCTATGGAACGCATGTTTCTCTTAATAGCCAGACAGGAGTGCTGCTGCTGCTGCTGCTGCTGTTGTGCATGTTGAAAGGGTGTTAGTGGGTTCTGTTGAAGAAATGTAGCTCCCATCCACATGTCTTCTAGTCTTCTTCCTGATATACACCGCAAGACACGGTCCTTCTGTAGGCGCATGCCTCCTGTGCCTTTTCTATGGAGACCACATTTACTTGGAAATCCGGAACCGGATGCTGCTAACCTACGTGTAGAGATACATTTATTTATATGTAGGGTGAATGAGTTCCACGCACACAATTGATATCGATACTTTTACTGGTCAGCAAAATGAAGTGAAACTCTCAATCTTTATGTGCCATATTATGTAGTTTATGTCTTCGTAGAGTTTTAAGATCATATTGCATGTACGTCTGTGCGTCCCCTTCTATGTCTTCAATGAAACGGCGTGCTATGTGTCTGTTAGATGTGTAAAGTTTCCAGTGGATACCAAACTTCAAAATGACGCAGAATCCACACGTATCGGAAAACTATAAATAAAATTTGCGCCTCCGATGTATTGCATAACGAGAATCATTTGAAGCGGCATTACAGAAGTTCGAATGCAGTGAATTTGCTTGACTGTGAATTTGAATATACACCATATTTTGCGCCAGTACTCGTTGAGGCTGCCTCTGCGATGAGATAGTAATATGCGCGCTTTATCAGCGGAATTAAAACCAACCGGGAACAAGTTGCAAACGGTCGGCAAAGTAGATGATTTTGTGCACACATTTTGTATACTACTAACGTATACTGTTCCAGCAGGAGGGTTGAGCGGGATTTTACCTGTTGTATGGTTTCTCTAGAAACTCCGCAGTATCGCATTTATCTCGCTTTTAAACTCCGAGTTCTTCACTTTGCTCAGCTATTTCTCAGTTCCGAAGTGTTGTTTGCATTTACTTATTATTGGTGCGAAGCATGGCTGATTTGACACAAATGATGACTACACCACTCCGCACCTATTTCATATAGTGTGACCATCACTGGTAGCAGTCTTTGAATCCTACAGGAACATAAACACATGTCCAAGCTACCGAGACGTCACCTAATTGTGGATGTGTGAGAAATTGTTTGGTTCAGCACCAAGCCAGCTAATTTAATTACAAATGTTCTTTGTAGCAAGCTTATCCGTTTTCCGACCACACTCTGTTACACATTACAGATTTTCCAATTGACAAGCTCTATCCTCCATATGAAGACGTACAAGGTGAGCACGGTTTTGTGGAAAGTTCACGCCTCTGGTAGATATTAATCTGATTCGGCCAAACTGTTGAGGTGTGCTATTAACGTTCGTACAATCTTATGGTTCTGATATGGTGAAGTATACCAAGAGAAACACAGTTTTAAACGATCGTATTATTTTATCGGGTCGTAAACAATTTCGATCTGGCAAATCTAATTTATGTTGAAGGATAAACGGTAACTCTTTTGATGTACACCGAATTTAGTGCAGAACCCAAAACTGACCAATGTATTTGCTTCAGTTTCCTATGTGCAGGATAACCAATTGTCCTAAATAAATAAATAAATTGTCCTAAATAAATAACTATTGTCCTAAATATGTATGCTTACACTCTATTACCCTAAAAATTCACGTGCTCATCTTCAAACGCATGTGTGGATGATTTACTTCTCAAATGCTATTCACATGGCATTATTTATAATTCTGCTTTCTGTATTAGCTGTCCTTCTGTCAGCTAATGTCAGTTTGCCTGGTAAGCAAGTCAAATTTGCGAGCTTTCTTCCTAGCAAGCAGCTGAAGTGATACTCAACGATTCCCCACTTGAAAATTGAAGTGAATATGCTCCCTTTCCACATAGTCGGGACATTCAATTCCTCAAGGCGTTGTTGAAAAACCGGGCAAACGGTTCGGCAAACTTCACGGTAACTGATTTTAATGCCATAAGAGCTGTGTATGTGCACGCACAGTAGCCTCGTTATCACTTTTGCAGCGGTGTACAATACGTGGCCTAGTCCTGGTAGCGCATTGTTCTTTGCAATGAATGAATGAGTTGAGGATTCACTTGGAAAAGTCTGGGTAAACTGTTGCCGAATCCTTGGCAGCAGCTTGTGTAGGGAGCGCGAGACTATCTACCTCACTTAAAAATGGGATTTAAATACAGCTACAAGGCGTGCATGATAACGATATCCGCAAGGTATTACACAGTATTGCTGTATGCAAGGCAACAGCCGGAGTGGTACGGAGGGCTGAAAATGCAGCGAAGTTATGCAGACGCTGTACCCTTCGGACTCCGAACGAAAGGTCTGCAAGCGTCATATACCCATAACAATAGCTTCAATTTCAGGACGTGTTCATAATGCGATCACCACCCCAATTGTATTAAGCATATTGCTCTCCCGGCCTACCTAAAGTTCTCCAGAGGGCGCTGAACGTTGCATCCACAACGCTAACCGATCTAGCGCCATATTTCTTCCAAAATCTCTTTGGTCGAATACTTGTGCCTATCATGGTACAGTCGCTCAACGGACGTCTTCCCTGTGCTGTCAAATGTGATGGAAGCAATCGTCCCTGGATCTTTGTTGGAAAATCACAAACGCTCTAACTTCATAGAATGGCAGCAGCACAGTTTCCATCAACAGTCATCATACAAATGCACTCTACTGATTGCACGCCCTATTCAGACGGACACAACCGAAGACGTGAGTTAGATAGACGTTAATTACTTCGAATTATTCATAGTTACTGATCGCTTGTTTACTGGCTGGCTCAGAATAGCCTGAGAAGGTTTTAAACGTTGTACACAAACGATTTGAGGTGTTGCAGAGGTATTTTCCCAATTTATCATATGTCCATCTGCAGTTGCTTTTCACTTACTTGTGACCTTACGTGGAATTCGTTAGCAAGACCTGGCAGAAGCGCATCAAGAGAAATCTCGCTGCACTCAAGACTCCACAACGAAGAGCCACCAAGTGCTGTATATATTTGCCTTCTCTTTCATATCAATCTACCCCAATGACCCTAAGATGTTACAGTAGACATAATCAGCGCCTATATGATGACCAAGCAAGGTCTACCAGATTTTATGAACCAAACTACATCTGCCGCCACCTAATATAAGGCAGTTACAAAATCAGTATGAGGGACATCAGTTCAAGATTATAAGCAGTAACTTCGGTTAGAATTTCGGCGAAATTTTGACTCCTTTTAAGTGTACTAGACTTGGAATGTCTACTTAAATTGAGTTGTTTACGCCAGCAATATATTGGTGCTAAAATAGCCTTAACTTTGACTAAACCGCAAACCTTACGATATATTTCTTTTTTACGTCGATAGACGCTCTCATGTGACCAATGTTTCACAACCAGCTTTATGCTAAAATATCGATGTCGGCATTTTTATTCACCTTTTCTCCTTTGCGTAAACACTGCTTTGCCCATCAAAACACCGTTTCAATCATAATACATCTAGTTTCGCATAATGTTGGAGCTGCAGTCCACCTTTATCGCTAACCTAATTATGCATATTATTTTTTCATTCATTCAATAAATTTTCAAACTTTTGCATGCAACGAAATCCAGATAATCCCACGTAGGCTGCGGATAATTTTGTCCTTCCAATTAGCTGTATCCGATACACTTAACGTTACGGATCTCCGCATTGCTAATTGTTGCACTTGGCATTATATGTTGTGAGCAAAATACATGAGATTTCACTTAACCGGAACTACCTAAGCATTAATTTCGCGGTCGCTGTGATGTTCGCTAATCTGGGTAATTTACCTGCCAACGTTTTGTCACCAGTCGTGATGACTTTCTCAGTGCATGGTTACAGTTGCGGTTGCAAGACGAAGTGCGTGTACATTGCCTCTTCATGTCGATTAAAATAACAGTGATTTGCTTTCGGTTTGCATATCTATGGTTCCGCCCTTGCACCAGGGGAAATGCTCGCTTTGTGATGGTTTCCGTTTAAAAAGCGCACCCCGCTACCTAAGGGAACCAAGCAACTTTCGTATCCCAAAATCACCGAATCGAACGGTTGAAAATATTTCTGCACCAATTATTGAAATGTTATGTTGTCTAAACAACGACGGTTATTCACTTTACATCTGATGACCTAACACAGAGTCCGACTTAACATACAGTTTACGAGCACGTTTCGAGCATCTCATTACTGGTTGCAGTCGTTTATCGTGTACTTTCTTCCAAACATCTGTTTTAGACTTTTCATTCGCACGATAATGTTCACGGATAATTGGCTATTAATTAATAATGAAAAACCGATGTTCGTTTGAAGACTGGAGGCGATAGTAGCATATAAGCGTATTGTCAGCAAACAATGGATTGTTCCTTATGCAATTCCATTAATTAGCTTTTGCACAGCGTAAATGTTTGATTAGGAGCACTTCTACCGATATTGAAGCCGTAATTGTTCCAGATTTTCCATTTGGTGTGACACTGTTTTCTGAGTCAAGCTACCATGTCAATACACCTGTTTATTTGTGCATACTTACTGCCGCAGTTTTGGTTAGCTTGACCGCTATGCTACGCGTAATGACGCTTCAACATGTGGGAACGCCTTATGATATATGTGAGCAACCAATGGTTTACCCGGGCCACGTGCAGGCATTTCTGCGTGCATCCACACGGGCACTACTCACACGAGGAATGTAACTAGAGTACAGTATTCCACTCCCATTCACATTTCAAAGTATCAAAAATCCATGGGATTAGCTCACTAACTATGTCTGGTAGCAACCGGTATAACATTTGAATAATTAACGCTTAACACTTCGCTGCATGACTCGTTATGTATACTCAGTGTCGCTATGACATAAAATTTACCAGTGGTCTATCGTTGTGTGAGAAGTCTGAACTATGAGATTTGAAGTGCGTTCTAGTGGTTTCATGGGTTATTACATAACGAAGAAAATGATAATACCTCGTAACCAGTGTGGGTTGAGTGCACGTACCTGACCAGTCACAATGGTAAGAACCGTCTGTCTAGCGCTTTCTGGGATTTTTCGTATCTGTCTGCATGAGTGTAGCTGCGTAGATTCTTTAAAAATGGTGGAACGTCTTTACGACTAATGCCATCTTGCGGATTACCTGTGAAGCAAAATAGAAGAATTGTCAGCCATTCATTGGCATTCGTATTATTCGAAGGGATGATGGACGCATTATGCTGTCTATCTACCGCGAAATATGTTCTGGTATATACTTGCACAATCCTCACCAACGAGATACACTTGGACGCTTTCAGGCAATTTAGTTAGTAAACCATGAAGAATTCGCTGGGCCGATTTTCTGGCCACCAACCAGAGTAAAATAGGACTATATTTATAGTGCATTTTCCCTCCGCCAATCTAGTAGAATAACAGCCAGCACAGGGGCTTGAATATATGCTAAAATTATAGCAAAACCATGCTCTCTATATCTAGCTGCATGTGTGGTCTGACTTTGCAATGCTAAAGATTCCTAAGCGTTTACTCTCTGGTACTCAGAAAATTTAACAGTTGCTTCATTTGTGGTCATTAACCGATGGAGTTTTAACCAATGGGAATTGACACATTGCAACTATCGATTCGTGCGTGATTGCAGAGCAAGTCTTATAAACAGAACCGACAGTTCTCTGACTTCAGAAATAAAGGAACGCTTGTCAAGAAAATTCAACGCGCAACAGACTAGCATCCCTACCCGCCTGAACATCCGTGCTAGCGCAGAAGTCCAGCTTCCTCCGCAGGTAGCATCTGACGTTCAGGTGGTACTGGATACAGCTCGGATCAGGTTTCACGAATATGCTGCATTATCCAGAACTTGCTTCGTTCTTTTCACCGAAGCTGTCACAATCGCCTGGTTTCTTCGCGGTATGATTATGAGTAACACAGTCGCGACTTTACAAACTATCTTAATAGAGACTTGTGCCATGTGCCTCGCGTCAGCAACTGTCTTGTTGCAATGTGGAGTAGCCGCTACCACTTTAGTACGCAAATGGCTTGCTCATATTAAATCGGTTTGCATGGAGTCGTTTAGAAGAGAAGTTTTTTAATCTACCTTAGAAATGCATAAGAGAACGGGTTTATGCTGTTTTCGAAGGTTACAATTATTCATTTGCTTTGACATTAATCAACTGGTCCTATTCTTACATGTGAATCGAATTGCTTAGCTGGTCTGCAAATATGATACGATTGTTAAAAATCACATCGATTATTTTTGACGTTTCTGTTCCCACTGAGCATGGTTTCTATAAACAATGACCCAAGATTAACCTAACATTCGTATACTCCTACCTTTGTTTTCACAGCAACACCGGCCAAACAAATCCCCCGAAAGACAAGTAAGTTTTACATAATCCGAATTGCAGCCGGTTCCGCTAAACTCACTATTTATCAACAGTTTCATTCGTCTTTCAATCATTTGTGGGGCAAAATCAAAACAGATGTCAATGAAGAGCTTCTAATATTAACTAATGCAAACCATATGCTCAATGAATCTAGTAGAACATGCATGATAACATATGGCAAATCTGCTCATCTATTTAGCTTAATTCTTCCTTAGTAAAGGTTCTAAAGGACCAAGGCAAATGAGGTTGGAGTGACAACGAGACATCTCCTCTATTCATCTGTACGAGTGTTCCTCCAGTAATAAAGTGAGAAGTCATTCTAAAGACATTAGGCAATAAGGGTTCTCCTTTACCATCGAAAATATTACAGCATGCCTGACAGTTGGTTAAGGTCGTTTAATCTGATTTACTTTGAACAAACAGCCTACGAAGAATAAATCGGAATACCGCGTCCCTGAACCTGATGATTCGCATGAGTATTTGTGGGTTGCAAGACAGGTACTCCATGCGCAATTATTTGAATCGGATGAGATACCTACCTTTACAATATACACGAAACTGCAAACCTATATTCTTCGCTGAAGTTGTACCAGGAAGCTGATTTGTGACCAGATACTATTTTTATTATCTGGGCTTGAGCAATACATGTCAAGGGGCTTATAAGTACGCTACACGGTACTTTGACTCTGTTTATAATCTTTGTAAGAGACACTGAAAGAGACACTTAACCCGGCTTGTTAGGATAGCGCTGCCGGTTCTAACATCACTTATCACATACCGGACGCGCACTGCTGTTGTACGTGCCTTGGCAATACTGACTCATAAGTACTGTATTCGTATGAAAAGTTCTGTAAATGGAATGCAGGATTAGCATTTGCTTTTTAGCGGCATCAATTCGATTCTAATGACCAAACATTTCCCCTGTCACCCATGCAGACAGCAGTAGCATCAATCAGCCCAAAAGAAACGGTGAGTTCAATTTGACTGTTATACCATTCAGGTATTCCAATATGGATGGTCCAAGTAACATCAAGTATGACGACACAATTTGTAGCATAGCGCAGCGATTGACCTCGGTAACATTAGGCATGACTTGGTTTGCAGTGCAAATTTGCTATTTGTTATGCGGAACCTACATTCCAGTTGTTTATTAAAGTTCCTCAGCCATTTGATAATTCCATTTAGTCATTGCACTCCGCAAAATTAATACCGATGAAGAATTATACTGAATTAGTATCGCGCCTCCAGAATCACTCAGCTGCCGAGGAAATGACTTGTCATTGGAGAGTGTAATATGTTCGAGTTGTGTTTTATATTGAATCTGAACCAGTGTGGACGACCATGTTGCAGTGGGCGCTTCATTCTTGGACGTCTTTTTTTACGAGCAGAACCCATGAAATTAAAACACATCTCTGGCAGCATTTCTTTGCATAATTAGTTGAGCAAAATGTGTTTGAAAACTTGCGGAATAAAATGAATGAGACAAGGGCCTGTATGGACTCTAACATTCAAAATATGAACCTTACCAAAGCAATCAAAAAATCAAGCCATTTCCTCTAACAGAATTTTCATAGCATCTAAAAGGTGGCTGTTCGGTATTTGACAACAATTACATAAGATTTGATATTTAGCAAACGACAAAATTTGCAGTTGTGTGTATGGAAAAGCCATGATGTTGTAGGCCGATATTGAACTCATCTGCATACTACGGATAATATTACTAATGTGGACATCGGCTGTCAACAGGCGGTTCACTAGCTGATGTAGAACAAAGCCTTGTAATCTATCTAACCTGATTCCCTATCCTGTGTCCGATATAGTGCAAGTCATAGCGTAAACAGCATTAAAAATAAGCACGATCTAAGTTGTACTTAGTGAGACATATCGCTACTGCCTTGTACTATCGGTACAATAATGCTTCCCAAAGCTTCGATTGAGTAATCTCTGACCGCTCCATTAGCTACAGTAACGTGTTGTACAAGTTGCTGGTTCTCGCCACGGAAGTGCGAGAAACGATCACATTGCTCGCCGAATATGAGGGATGTGAGTAATTCACGCTCACATCTAACCCCTGTATCATGAAAACAGCCTCAGCCTTTGAGCAGAACAACTAAATACTGGTTGCAAACTGATATATTCGAGTTCACAATCGGTTATATCAAATTGAGTACGATTATTAGGCGTGACACGCTACTTCGATTTCTGTATTTTACCAAATGGAAGTAAATTACCTTGCAGTCGAAATGCTTTTCAAGTTTGCAAATCGCTGATTGCTTCGACCTAGCTGGTATTCACTCTGATGGATAAACAGTCACATCACACATATTATAACCTTGTTTTGTTAAATATATTTCCTCTTTTATATGTTGACATAAGAGTAACCAACCTTTTGCATTTTCACTCTTTTGTTTCCTCAGCAACGGCGCCCACACAAATCCCTCTAAATAAAAGTAAGTTTATCATAATACGGACAGTAGATTCATGTGGCATTGATTTCCCGACTGCAATTGGCTCCGCTAATCTCACTATCTGCTGAAGGTTTTACTCATCATTCCCTAATTCGTTTGACAATATTTAAACGGTATAACTAATGAGCTTTGAAACTACTCAGATTAGTGACGATTCCATGCTCCAAGACATCGGTAGACCATGCATAATATCCTAACACAAATCCCAACATCAACTTCATTCACCCTCTGTAAAGGTGAGTAAGGAACAAATGCGGATCAGGTAAGAGGCACAGGTTTGTGTCACCGAGTCAGCTCTTACAATTCTGTTCACTAAGCTTCATCTAGGAATTGAATACGGGGTCCTCCTAAAGACGAGAAGCAATTAGGACACCCTATTACTATCACAAATAGTACAGGTTACCTAGTAGTTTGTTAAGCTTGCTTTATCAGATTAAAGTTGAACAAACAACTCACCTAGCAGTTTATATGATCTCACTACATTACATAACGGACTTCGCGCTTAGTGGAGTGATGCAGCATGTAATTTAGAGTGTATAAATGACGCCACAACACGTACCCACAACAAGTGCATCATGTTAAAATGCGAATAATCATGTGCTCTTTGTTTTCTATTAACTGTGTGGACAGTGTACCAGAACCTTGTAAGTCGCATGAATGATGGAGGGGTAAATGTGAGGCCATCCCTGTGCAGAATATCGAATCGAACGAGATGCATAGAATGCAAAGTACTCAAGACTGGAAACATATATTCTTCGCTCAACTTGTACAAGAAAGCTGAGTTGCCATCAGAAGCTCTACATTTATCATTGTCGTCTAGACTTAAACAGTACTTGTTAAGGGGCTTATGGGCAAGTTAAATTACACGGTCACTATTGCAGTTTATAATTCCTGTAGTATAAAACGCGAGGAATCTCATACTCCTGATTGTGAGGGTAGTGTTACAAGTTCTAATATCACTTGTCAGATACCAGATGCGCATTGCTGATGCTTCGACGAATGATGGAATATCTGTCCTGCACCTTTTTGAATTTTTAATACTTGTCTCTCTAACTGTTACTCTGGTATATCTCCTACCAGAATGTAGCAATAAGCTATGCAGGTCGCTTCGAATTAAGCGCAGTTTCCGGATTTTCTTCTTAGTATTGATCTTATGTAACTGTTTCTTTATTTCGGCGGAATGCAACAATCACATTTGCTTATTGCCGCAGTAGAAAATGTGTAATTCTCGCAAAAGTTCGCTACTAAAGACAGCGCTTTTATCTCATCACCCATGCAGACAGCAGCAGCAGCAGCGACAGCAGCACTAAGCAGCCCAAAAGGAGAGGTAAGTTCGAGCTGAACATTAAAGTGGTCTTGTATTCCCATGTAAATGGCGCAATGAACATCAAGTATGACGGTGCATAATGTGTAGTTTAAAACACCGATGGATCTCCGTAAGTTCAAATAGACTGCGCTACACTTTTCCAAAAGCATTCCGCGTTTTAAAAATGAATATGCATATAAGCTACTAAGCAGCAAACACAGCGATGGAGTTACAACGTAAAATTGCTTGTCAGTTTTATAACGACTGAAATATGGATATACATAAAGTTTAAATGATAAAGTCTGGAATAGGCCTTAATAAATTCAATTAACCGGGTGCTGCATATATGCTAGTCTTCCATGATCATGCTCAGAGAATTGAATGTGCTCGTTATCACCCAGTTAATTACCCGATTTGTAAGCTGTTTCTCATACAAATATAATCATATGAAACGCATGGAAAAGCTGTTCTTTAAGCAATTAATGAAAATAAAATACCGATGAAACTAATATCACCCCCGTAAATAAATAAGTAATGGAATAACATCGTTTTTGGTCAAGCATACCGGTTGTCGATTACAGTTAATTACTAAATGTTACTGTAATAAAACATATTTGGAGAGTTGAAAAAATCCATTGACAAATTAGTATTTATTCCAGTACTTATGACACATGATTTGTGTAATGTTTTGGTCGCGTATTGTTGATTTCAGAGACATTAACGCCGCACAGTGGTATGTTCACGTGACTAGTTATTTCAGTGTCTCCTTCTATCCTATTCATAAGACAATAGATGCTGATATTTCCTCGTCCTGGGTGTTCGCAGTGTTGATTAAATGAAGTCTGTTTGTGTACTTTACCCATCCTCAGGCGCAAGCTAAGGCACGAAGATGATTCGAAGGTTTCCTAGTGGATAACACAAAGTTTAACGTGATAAATACTGTTCTGTAATCTTAGACTGAGCAGTAAATTTTTCATCGTCTAGTGCATACACCACTGACTTTTACTCTGCTCCGTTCCAATTTCTAATAAGCTGCATGCGCCATAAACAAGTTACTCTAGTATCGAAATGCTTTATATGCAACCAACCAAAGTACGCAATGTGATATTTGTGAATTCCTTTATAATTGTGTATAGATCATTGTCGTGCACCAGCCCGAACGTCTGTTCGCAGCTAACCGTATAACTGTGCGGTGGCAAGAATATTATTTTGCGTGTTGAAGATGGAAATGCAGCATGGACTGAAATCCACATCGTAAACATTGCCGGTTTTAGTCGCGCATTTAGACAGAATGTTTTAAACTATGTTCCACTGTAAGTACGCCTGAGCAACTCGAAAACTGCTGGGACATGATGATTTGATATTGTGTATCCTATTGTTTTTGCTACTCCTAGAAACCGGTTACTTGTATGACGCTATCAAAATGCTTACACATGGGGCCCGCTCCTTTGTGCAAAGTGAGTACCACATACGAAACATGCTCGGTGTACATATTGCCCGCTCAATACCAGCTATTTACTTTGCCACGCTTACTCATATTTTTCTCCGTACACGCTGATATCGTAGTTTTTCCTTGTTCTCGCTGTGTTCTATCACCGGCAATTGCTACAACCAATAAGCGAGTGGCGTTTGGATAAAGGTTTTGGCACCAACTGCTAGAAATTGGGTGTTGTCCACCCGAAAACACTGCACAACCACGACGCGTTTCGATGTAATTTCATCTCATTAGGTGGAGACAGTTGGCCTTAATCCCTGGACTATTGAAATAGTAGCCGAAATCTCTACCCCTTCGGCTACCGGGTCACGGTGGGCAACGTGTTGTTACTAACCTAAAGGTAATTTCTTACCTGGCGTACGGTAATTTCATGACTTCCTGTAAATCAGACGTTGACAATCTCGGCCGAATCGGGCTACATTGTTATCATCTGCTATGCCAATATATAATGTAAGATATAAGCCTAGTTTCAAACTGAAGTTAAACGGTTTCAACGGAAACTGCTTAATCCCAGACTCTGAGGTGCATAACAGCTGGTTTTCAACAGCATCTGATTGTCTCGTTGCTCAGAAGGCTTTCCTTGCGATGATAACTAAACTTGTGAGCAGAAATGTTAAATCCAGTGACTTCATACCATAAATGCATAGTATGGAAGTATGTACTTTTTGGAATCTGAAAGTTTTAGATGAGGGATCCGAATGCATGTCTGCATTTTACATTGTCTATCTTGGCCAACTTCTACAAAAATTTACGAAAGCTCATGTATATGTTGATTGTTTCCTGGGCCAAGTCAATCAGGCGACATGCTTGACCTACTGCTTTTATGAGCGCCCTCGTGGGGCGTAATCTGTTGGTCAACCGGAAAGTGAATGGCATTAACTGCTGTTAGGCGAACACACATCTGACTGCATGCACACATGAGAAACACATTTGGGACTAAAGTTGTCACTTTTTCTTTCCATGCTCAAAATAAATACTCTATATTTAGACGTTAAATCTACTATACATGAGACGAATTGTGTATTTCATGTTGAGCACCATGAAATAAAAACGGCGTGTCCACAGCTTATATGAATTGACGGATGAAGTCAGAGGAATTAAAACCATTAAAAGTCCTCCCAGTAATTAATCCGTATGGTCGTTCCCAACACACGGTGGAGCAAGATTTTGTGCCGAGATAAAGAGCTCTACGTTTAATTAACTTTGGCATCAGGTTTCTCGTTTGTCAGGCGATGGTTCTTTTGCAGTGTAAGACCAAAACTAAAACTATTCTGCTTGCTCTTGTGTCCAAACGGCATTTTAATTTAAATATTATAAGGTGCTGGCGGGGAAGAAGGAGATGTTGGCTTGACCAACAAACACTTGAGCTATGTACCAGAAATTGCTCTCTAGCACCTCTGAAGTAGAAGTCTAAGTTTCTTATTTTACTTGGCCAAACGTTTTCAAGCCACTTGTAGTCATCACGTTTGCCCAGACCAAAAGTACTAGTTATTGTTTTCCGGGCCAGTTTTCAAACGCTTGTTTGTATAAGTTGCACGGTGGAGAACCATTTGCTCATCTGTAAAACTATGTTAAATTCCAATGAGTTCCTTTGTAGAACAAGGCTGCGGCTGCATCATTCTATTCACCAATTTATTCAATAGATGCCGAAGTTATCATTGTTATCCATCGTTCCTCTAAGTTTATTTCCAAACTATACTGCTTCAGAAAAACTCGCATTCCATGCGTCTAAAATAATACATAGATATGATTATCACATACTATACGCTTGAGCATACTGGAGCAAGTATTAGCACTAACACACATCTGTTCCAACTTCGTTCCTCAAGTTGTCACATACCATTTCTGACCAATTCCTTCCTGTGGCATTAAGTAAAACCAGTGGACGAATATGTAGAATACCGCTACTTCATATTAGGCAACACAAAACGCGTGCATGACTGCAGTTCAGTAACGATGCACATTCACTTCAACTTTATTGCTTCCCCTAATTACATTTATCATTTTGAATGCTTTTCCAGTGTTGGAGGAAATCAACAACAAAAATTACAAGTCTGTGGCTGAAATCCTCAGCCGACATTCGAGTAAGTATCTTTGTAAATAGAGGATTTTTGTGTTTTGTCATTCAAATTCTAATGCATGTTGCTTGCAGTAGTTTCTAGCTGGTACGAGGTGTACTACTTAGGGATGGAACCCCAAGAATTGCAAAGCAATCTTGGATAATACAGCGCATAGAGCTATGAATTGAATCTTCTCAAATGAGGATATTTCAACTGTAGTTCCGCCTGCTAGTATTTAAATTTCCACCTACTTCGAATTCCAATCCTCCTGTTCTGTAATGGGAAAAGTCAAAAATGCGACCCCCTAATGTTTTCACGTTTTGCCTTTCAGCTTCTCAATTTAACTCTGCCGATTACGACGCCATGCTACAAACTTGGGTGCAGGTAGCCAAAGGTAGGCTTTACGATTTATCCGGTGTACATTTCGCCAAATTTGCTTTACAGAACGTATGGAGTTAAACCTCGTTAACTTGATCGTTCAAGGAACTGGGCCACGAGGTTACCATACTTAGTTGGTTAAAAAACAGTGTTCTAAATCCGTAGGGTTTACATGGTGTAGGTTGCAGCAGCGAAAACTATCCGGTCGACATAGAACGGTGATCGGGATATGCAGTTGGTTAACTTCAGAGGTTATGCTGCATGTAGTTGGATTATGGGAAATCAGATTGAACCGAGTCTAATCCATCAACTGCAATTTATAGTTGCAAGTACGGAAGCTATTCTTGTGCCCAGACATGCTGATGCACTTTCTTCGGTTACTGCTCTGTTGTCCGCCTCAAGAATAAGTAAATAAAAGAAGATTAATGGCGACCAATATTAGAGTTCGGTGATTTGGAATTTTGCTGGTTCCACTAAACATTAGTCCTGATTAATCGAAGTTGCGTATGACACTGCAAGTTTGTTAATTTATTCTGACAGCTCAATAATTTAATTGCGTTGAGGGTTTCACCTTACAAACTTTACTTCACTATTCGAAGCTACACAGAAACTGTCCTGGATCGCCTTGTCATCTAATCTTAGCTTGACCATGTAAACTGCTTGATTTAGGAGGATAATTATTTGTTTTTATCCCTGTGTCTATAGCTGAATAATGCAGTCAGATGTATATCATTTCTCACTCAGCGCAGAATACCACGATCCGATTTAACCATTTAATTATTGCATTTGCTCGCAAGTGCCTACACTCCAAACAGGTCATGAGATCAAGAAAACACTGATGTCGTAGCCACGTGCTTTGAAGAGTGCCAAACACAGCTTGTTATTACTTATGAATGGAATACAGCGTGTTATATATCTACAATTTCAAATACTTATCTAGTAAACAACTGATCCGTTTTGACTTATTCTATTCAGTTTACTGAAGGCTGACATTCTTTGAGGCATTCATCACTTGATGGGTTATATTCCGCAATCCAATGATACTATCTAATTTCTGTTCAAGGAAACTTTATTTACTTGATTGAACATTGGGTTAATGGACCTAAGCTGACATTCAGAATTTGCACGGACAATCATAGATTTGCCAGCATTTCAAACGGCTACAACTATACTAATCAAATTTCACAGTCTTTACATGTCTGCAATGTCGAAAGATCTTTCTTAATATCATTCATTTGTTTTTAAAAACTACTTTTCGATTGCTAAATTTGAGCAAAGGTTTTTTACGTTAAACAAATTGTGAATGGATTATGGGATGTTACAACTCTGGTGGCAAACACTGCGGATGCAATTGGTGACGAGAATTGGAGGCAGCTTCCCTTTCCTGTGGACCATAGAAACCTCTTGTAAAAGCCTTGCAGGTTACATTATTGCGAAAGATGCACACAGATTTTTCTTAAGAACCATGAACTGAATATTTGTGGTACACAAACCTAAATGACGATCACTTGTGTGTATAAAGTTTTGCCAAGCAACCTATAAAAAGGGGTTTTAAATTTGCGGGACAGTTATAATTACTTGACTAGTTGTTAAGAAAGCAATGACTACATTTATAAGCTAATGCAATTCAATTAAAAATGCTCTATTGAATCAAGGCTGGAACAGCAGCTAAGAACTGAAGGTTGTTTGTATTCATTTTTGGCGAAATACTAACATTTGCTAGCAAAATGTTTTACAGGTCAAACATTATTCCACAATATGCGTCGTGAAAATGAACAGTTTGGTCACAGTAATTTCGTTATATTCTTCTTCGTATTTCTTTATATAAATATGTATATTTCTCCAAGGATAAACAAAATGCTAGCATTTGTTGGCCAACCTGAAACCATCTGCTTTCAGAAATAACCAATTCTTGATGTGGAATAAGACCCGTTATACGTAAAATCACGGTGTTCAAATAGAACACTGTGAAGCAACATATTTAATGGCACAGCCAAATCACTGTATGTATCCTTATATTGCGTGTTACAGGATCCGAAGAACTGACGGAAGTATTCCTACAAAGAATGGCATCACTGACAATGCCGAATATGTGTAAGTCTAGCGGACAACGCCAATGAGCGCTCAGAATTCACACACAAGCCTGTAGATTCTATTTGCGTTCAGCATATGTTTGCGTATTTTGTACGCTAACCTGTTCTTAGCCAACTATCACTACTCAGTCTAATTTCCCGCATAGCATTTCTGTTGCGACAACTAGGAGCCGTTCAGTGTGCCGACTGGTTTATATCTTCACCTAGTCAATGTATGCCTGACAGTGCTTTCTTATTAACAATTCGCTTCCCGTGGAGGTTCTCAACGTACTTCCAGTTAAACTCACATGCCCTTTGACACTGCCCTAGGAATGAACCATCCCAGCAACTAGCTGTACCTACATATCAACTGTGATCCATATTTCACAGAAGCGTTATTTCAACTTCGAAGATAAAGTGAATTTCATTGGGCACTTCTCAGCAAATCCACTGAACAACGCCGAAATAACAAATTGTTTAAGGGTCCAGTGACGCAACTAATACTCAGCTTCGCCAAATGATTTGAAGAATTTTAAGGGCATATAAGTGACGCACAACGTTTAGCTGCCGTGATCAAACATAATTTGCTGTTATGCGGATGAACTTAAGTGGCGAAATCAGTTGACGGTTCAGCATTTGCTTTTGAACTCTTTAGATGGCATCTCTTCAAGCAGAGAGAAAACTCTCAGTGTTCTTTAACCGATGACGGGATACGGGTGAGAAATGACAAAAGAATAGTGGCTGACAGGAAACCAGCGAACAAAACGCATAGCATTCAGACTGCACAGCTATTTGAGTTTTTTCCGGAAAATATTTATTCTATTAGACATGGTTGACGAACCCGCATGCGTATCCAAGTTACCCCTCTAATTATTTTCCCTCGTAGTGTTGCTTTTACCAAAGGCCACATCTCTAAGCTGCTAATCCTCTTGGTTGATTTTCTTTAGCTGCTGAACACACGAGCACATTATTATCGAGTTTGCGAATGTACATCGAATCCTACATAACAGGTGAGCCACAACATGGTACAGCATCTCAACGATTGGTTGAGTTCTGTTCTGTGTTTGGACGCACTCGTTTGTATAAAATGACGTGTTTGTGGATTAATGTGATGGAGTATGGCTCAGTGAAATGAGTCAATATAGAAAATATGCTGCAAATATACTTCCATTGCCCCAACTTCAGTCAACCATTGGAAATGCCCACAAAATACAAACCGGCTTTTGAGCAACCAAAACAACTAAAAATAACAGATTTTCGCACATGAGTTAAGTTGTTCCTTAGAACAGAGATTATAACCTATCACAAACAGTTGCTTCTACCTTAATAATATAAACATATGAGCAGATCCCAAAATCTCAAGACCCTATGTACAGATCCCAACGCCAAATTATAGACAGCTTCCATCTTCTAATGAATCACTCTAGGTAGTTTGAACAGTAAACATGTTTCCACTATCTGGATTGTCTGACATCAAAAGCGCATACGGTAATTCACAGTCGGAGTGTACTGCGTTAGCTTTCCAATTTACATCAGTTATTACCATATGATGATATATTTTGACTGCTCAAGATTTGGAACACTCGTGTTTTCCACATAATTTGTTTTATTACAATACATTTGTGGGAATTGTTATTCTGTCACTTTAAACTCTTTGTAACCAGCGAGATTACAAGTAATGATACATTTCTCGGTGTATACATCAGGCCCAAGTACGATTTGACCAGCTCACTGTCGTTTATTCATTCAAACGTTTAAGTCAACTTTGTATTCACTTTTTGTTAGAAGCAATTGTTCTCACTATTAATTCGCAGCTGCTTTTCCCTTTCACTTCATCAGGCGTATTAGCCCGACAAGAAACTCTGTTGCTTACAGCATTCGACTTCGTGAACCAAACAACATGTGAGTTTGATATATCAGGAAGACAGGAATTTGTAAGATATTAAGATTGCCGTATATTTTGGTGGAATTTTACTAGTCACCTCGGCAGCCAAAGTAGAAGAAGTTGTTTCACCCAAAGATTTTTCTCAAACAAATGGAAACATTTAGCGCCTCCTTTAAATGTTGAGATGTGGCTCCTTTAACGTTATCCACATAAATAAGTGCATTATGGTCCGCGACTCGTATAACTAAGTACTTGTACTTAGTATAAAGGCAAAGGATTAATATTCGACTGAAAGATATTATTAGGCCTTTCGCAAAATATTACATCATTATGTTCTGAAAAATAGGCTGAAAATCTTTAGCCTAATTATGTTTGTCTTTCGCAACTTACGATTTCACCCATTTTCGATTCAGGGTTTTAACAATAAGTATAACAGTATGTCCTCGAGATCAATGGTTATCACCTTTGCATGGTGGGAAGGGCAGTCTTAGTAACTTATATCTTCTAAAATGTGCTGTATTCTAATAGTGACTATGGTTTCAGCAAGCGATACGTGTTTATAATTGCTTGGGATTTCGTCGCAATGGGTTCTAATTAGGTAGTTTTCCACATGCCTTGAAAATACTGGACCACAGTTTCCGACAGTTGGGTCTAGTCAGCGGTTCAAATCCATCGGCTTAATCAGGAATCGAACCTATGACCATCAGCGGCTTGTATCACAAATCACCGACTTACGCTACTTAGCCACGGGGGACGGTGTTGGACAGTCACCAGTTACTTTTTAACTGGGTCATGACACTTCTCATCCTCCACTGCCATGTAATTTACGAAAGTTACAACGTACAGGGTCGAACAGCTAGTGAAGTTTTGGGCATGCAATAGACTATCTGACTTGAAAGCAGTTGCGCAGACACACTCAACAGTTTACAACAAAATTCGCTTTCTTTCGAATTTCTCAAAACAGCGAATTTGATTGAAGCTTGGCTCATTGAGTCCTAACTGCGCAATAACGTAGCACTCCAAGTTTGCACCAAATTGCCAACCACATATTGACGACACATTTTTGCTGCAATGTGGATACAACCGTTGCATATAAAGGACATGCCAATGTGCTCTGAATGGCATTGTATTTCTCCAAGCCCCTATTAAAAATAGCACACAAAATAACGCTTGAACTACCGGATCCGCACTTCGTATCAATTTTCGTTCTAATTACTTGCTGCCATTGAAGCTCAGCTAGATACGGAGTCCATCACATAATTAACGCAACCAACATTTGCTTGCAAACCGTATGAACCGGATGCATTGCATTAGAATCAGTGTTAAGCATGATAGCCGTCAGCTTGTTAATTGTTGTTTGTCAGATTTACTTATGTTGTTCCCATAGCCTACATTGCGCTGTATCTTTAATTCCTCCGAACAGTAACAATGGAAGAACACTCTTTACTTGAGAACCTCCTTGGAATCAATCAAGAAATTCACACACGTAAGTGGACACAGAACATTCGGTGACCACTACTTAACCAATGCAATGGAATCGTTGCAGTGATTATATGCAGCCAATTACTATTGACACTTAATAGAAACAAGTATGCGTATTACACATAATATGCAACACGTAAGGAACAATAAGCAGATGTAAGCAAATGCAACTCCACTAATGGTTCATCTTTGTCAAGATTACCTCAACTTTTGTGCTAAACGGCACAGTCAATCATGAGTGTAGTCAAAGCCAAACAATTATTTACTTGAAAATTTCTCCTTTCTCTGAGGGTATGAACCTCTGATCCACTGGTATTGAGTTGCACACCTATGCTGGTAAAAATGGTAGTCATCAGTAACCATTTGCTATGGTGAATTTCACGGAGACCCCATAAGGTTCTTAATCAGGCACATTAGCACACTATCAAGTAGTGAGAATTGTAAGACTATGAAAAACACAGTGGTAAAATTGGAACTTAGTCTAGCTCATGAAAGTGGATCACTTCGAAAATAAACTGTCAAACGTCATGTACAGATTAAATAAATTCGGTCCAACTGTAGAGTGGATAAGCAAAATATTGTTCTCACCAGAGTAGCTTTTCAAGTCGTGCAATTTCACTTTGTATTGTAACTACAAAAATGTTCAATAGCAATTGGGGAGGACAATAATATATATATATATATAATGTATACAACCTAGATGTCTGCTCTTATTCCGTAAGGATTGTTGGCCTCCATTTGTGATTTGGTAACAAATGGTGAGTAGCAATATGCTTGAAGAGCTTTCTTTACTATTGTTAAATTTTCTATTCCCCTGTCACCTTCAGTACAACGAAACTACCCCGATCAACATCTACCTGCTGTTCACATTCCCAAACACTAAGTGTGGGTTTAATCACAGGAACTACAATAAATAGCCTAAACAAAACAACCACAAGTATGCTGCTAATTGGTCAGAAAAGCAAGTGGAGTTTAGAGGTAAAACAACACATTACTTCTCAATTTCTGTCTGAAGTTTCCGCCGTCCAAGCTAGAGGGTAGCTCAGCGGGCTGAAACTAGCAAAAAGAGTATGTATTTTGGTTCACAATACGCCATTACAAATGCACTTTTCACTGTGAGAAAGAAAATGGCTTCAATATATAGGGATCAGTTAAAATTATTTTGCAACTGAGGTGTGCAATTCTCATCTTTTATCAGACTCGTTCAAAACAATGAACACATATGTGATATTGATCGATCGTTTGGCGGATATTTCTCAAAGTGAGTGAGCTTTTAATTAGAACGCTGTCTACTTACCTTACACAGCAAGTAATGCTTTAGTAATGTCCACGACAGAAATGATGAAGAGAAAGAAGTCGTAAATTATCTCTCCACCTGAAGTTATTAGCAATGGTCCGTTAGAATACATGTAGCTGCTAACAGTATACATCCCAATCTCGGTATGAGGTCTGGAATTAAGATAACATATGTCGAGAATGTTTTAAAGTTTACTGGCAATTCGTTTGAACCAGTCCAAATTATTTTCATACAAGGACAAAGGCGTATGCTTTCTGTGCCGAAATTATAATCAAATCATACTGTTTTCGTAATTCACTAGGGTATCCTTTTACCAAGTGTTTGTGCAGCTAATGTACAATGCCAATTTTTCCTTTTGTCTGCCACATGTGGCGAATGATTAATGTGCGCTGTTCTGGCGCAATTCTTTGATTAACTCCAAGTGACGCAGTCTAAAGGCCGGTCTAAATCCTACTGGTTTAGGTAATGAATATTGGGCATTGTTCAACTTATTTCAAAACGCAATACGTTCGCGTAACCAATGGTTAAAAATGGCCCAGTGGTCAGTCATTAAGCTGCGCGACAATGTTTGCGGATCGTGACTTTGTGGCTAAAGTAGTTTAGCTTTAGCTGACATCCAATGTTCTTCGATTTTGCGTCCCTTCGACCTCTACCTAATAAGATAAATTAGTTTGGAGCCTGTCATTCAATGTAGTGTTTTCGGGAGTGCAACACCTGCCACCTTCATCAGTTACGGTTTCAGTGGTTGATTTGACTGAGGATCTGTTTAATGAGAATCGCTGTCCACACGATTACTTAAATTAAACACAATATGTTGAATAGAAACACAGATTGCTACTACTTGAAGTCCGAATGATCAACCGTTGCGAATACGTAGAAATATATGTTAACTAATGATGCCATTGTTTTTTCACATGATGCGTCTAAATTTTGCAGATTCGCGTTAACGATTTTTCAACAATGTCAAAGGAGTGCACAGAAAAACGTGTCCGATGGATACTTGAGATCAGTTGATTAATTCCTCTAATAAATACTGCAATATTGTCAACAAAATTTCTTTTTTACTGCTTCAGCTTTAATTGGCTGGTTTTATCTCATGAGGTCACGTGTAGGTTGGCGCGAGAGTTTTCTACTACCAATATTGATACGCATTTATTCGTCCTGCATGCCAAATAACCCGTGATATGTTACCGGAATATATTCTCTGCGCAGATTTGCTTAGTACTTGGGACGTTGCAGGGAGGTGCAACACAGAGACCCTATCACTTCTGGTCCAGGCTTGGTGATGTTAATAACCGAGGTCCGCTATAAAGTATATCGAAGTCTTAACCTAGATTGTGTATCGCGATCTAATCGCACAAAGGTCGTAGTTTAGGCGGTACTACTACTGAAGACATCGTGCCATAAAGAATCGTGACGTGCACGTAGTTAGGAAACTAAATTAAGCAATAATCGCGATAATATGCGCATTGCAGTTCTCCATCATCAAGGCGAATCAATTGACATAATGCGTTTGTGCCCAATACGAAGCATTTGTCAAGAGTCTTGGATGAAGTTGTACCAACGCAATAAATTCACGAATTTCTTTTCAAAATGATATTCTATGAGTAGATTTTGGTGTGCCCTAGCACCATGGTGGTGAAGTTTACGAAGCGGAAAACATGCAAAATACGGTTTATGTAAGTCAATGCTGCATATCACTTGACCATCGGTTACTGTTTTAATTACGCAAAATATGTCCTCCCTTAAAGAGATATAGTGAGAAGACCTTGATCCGCCAAAGCTATGGTGTAAGAAGGATAGTCTCTCTAGCATGGTTACTTGTCAGACAGGTTAGAGGGAGGAAACGATTCCTCTTAATCAATGAGGAAATTACAGTAGAACTGGACGGATTGTCTAGTGCTTTGATGAATAACGTGTAAAAAAGAAATACCAAAGATGGCATTGCTCATCCTACATAGCATGTATTGCTGCATTTGAGTCTATGCAATCTAACGCTATAAAAACAACTGACCACAGCATCATAGGATGTCTTTGTGAATGAAACATACCCTAATAGATATGAAGGCGCTCCTGTGTGGACCACAGTAGACATAAAGAAAAATATAAATATTATATAGCTTGCGCTGGAAAACATTTGCAGAATTTCGGTATGTATGGGAGCCGAATCTAATGCGGAAAATAAAAGTAGACATTTCTTTAGTGTTCATTTTTGTCCAAAAAAGGAAATATATGCTAAAATAACAATAGCTTAATGTTATTCTAAACACTTCTATGCAACAGATATATTAATATGTAGCACAGCGTACACCATCAGTTTGAAAAATGTGTAAAAACAAATTTCACTGTACGCGCTAAATATATTTGCAAATGAAACTGATGAGGCTCTTGGCATGTTTTAATGATAGCTTTGGGAACCGGTATGCTATTAAGTAGATCAATAGAAGATTAAGGATGATACTCATCGCTGCCAGTCGGCAAAAATGATGTTCAAAATGAAAAGGAATTCAAGAGTAAAATTTAGACACTAGACATAAATTAAGGAAAACATAGCGTCACTAAAGCAGCATAAATATGTATCTGCAGCAATGTTACCGAGTAGTAAGCTATAGAAATTCCCATGAGAGTGGCAGGAGCATGAGAAGTGGATACCGATTGTTTTACTTGGTGGATAAAAGAACGGGCTGAGAGAAGAACCAGGGTTAGATGTAATCAACTTAAAAAGGGCACCTTCAGGTTGTAATAGGAATCGCTGTCACAAAACGAAGCTAGCTTTCACAGGGTATAATGAAGCCGGATATTTTGCGTTTTCACATAATCCACGTACATAAATTTGTAGAACAAACAGGATGTCTATATAAAACAATCAAAGTGCGATGATATAAGGAAGTTAATTCAGCTGAAAACCACTGTGTTCATCTAACGCCTGTCAGATGACAAAAGGTTCACTGACCTCACAAGGATAGGACTAGATTGAACACGGAATCTCTCTCTCTCTCTCTGGACAATGTGGGTTTTAAATGTCGACTAGCTGAGGATTCAATGAAATGAACTAACAAGTGGTTGCTTTGTTTGGTAATTAACAGCAACGCTACACCTGGGTTTCGACACACAGTGCATGTGCCAATATTGTAAGCAGGTTTCCGTTGGCTACTTGCAGCCATGCGACGCTGGATTTGCTCTGAATTCCTTGCTGTCAGCCTTCTCACATATGTGCCAGTGTGATTGAACACACAAGTACAGTTACAAGCGCAGATGTGTAACGCGGTCTTTTGAGTATATCTTGGATCTGCACATAATATTTCTGACTTGCTAAAATACCACTGGCGCAGCCGCATATCATCAATTGTTAACAGATAGCTGGAGACGACACCGACATCTCCAGTCAACTTAATCCTCTTTAAGCGGCAGGTTAATAATTACCATTTTGTTAGGAGGCATCATTTTATCTATGGGTTGCCTTTTTGCGTAAGTTCTTAGGATCGCTCGGTGTATCCCTTTTTATGT